AAAAATGGCTTTTGTTCATCATATACGTCTTACATCTTTTTACCTTATTTTCTCTTAAAGGTTGGAAATCTGCTGTTCCCCTTTTTTCCTTTTTATTTTTCTTTTTTTTTTAGCGTGAAGATTCTTGCTTCTAGCAAGCACTGGACATGGTGTGTAGACTCACCACTGTGACTCTAATAAAGTCCCCATTCATATGAAAATTAAGTTATATCATGGAATAGTGAAGAGATTGAGACAGATGTCAATCTCTCTTGGCTAAGGAAAGCTTTGTGCAATTTTGGGGTTTTTTGCAATTATTTTGTTACTTGTGTTATTTTTTACAGCTTCAAGCAAAAGAATTCATTTAATTAATCCTTTAATTAGCTTTTAAATGTACAGAACAGTTTCTGTCCTCATATATACCTGTACATACTACTTTGATCATTTATATATCTTTTCTGGAAAAAGAGCACTAGTTCAGAGAAAAATTCCCTGGGACTAATGCTTATGACAATGTAGCAGTCATATTAATACCCAGGTTACTTCAGCAAATAAGATACTAAGATACAGTAAATATTATTACAAGATATTAGGTATTTTAATAGGTCTCCATATATCTTCATTCTCAAAGGCACCTCTCTCAACAGTTGAAAAAATGGGAGCACGCTACTCTTTTCCATAAAGGCACAAATTTTCACTTCCTTGACACTTTTCATATCCTATACAAAAACACTCATATATAAGCTAGTTATAACTCAAGGACACGAAAAACTAGAGGTTATTTTGTGGTTGGTTGAACTCAGCATTATACAAGTATGCATAGGGTTAATGGGAGGCCAAGACGTTGGCAAGAGCAGTTGATACAGGAACGTCTAATCAGGAACCACTCTCCTTGGGAACAAACTATATCTTGTAAAAATATGTAAGCTAATTAGGATGTTTTCAAACAATTTGGAACTAACAGCAGAAGAATGATAGAGTGCCCTTAAATGAACTATCCTCATTATAATACTAAAACTCACACCCCTTGAGTTGGAGGCCCCAGCCCGAGCAGAGATCCTTACCTATTGAGCATGCATAGCAAATTTTAGAACTGTATCGTTAAACCAAAGTAAGAAGTGAAGTAACCCATCATAGTTAGGAGGGTACGGCTAACAGGCGGAACTAACATTTTTAACTGTATAAATAGGCAACGTTATTGTAACCAGGTGTGCTAGCTTTCTGGAGTTACCACCTAGCACCCACCTCTGTGCAGATATGAAATAAACTGGTATCTTGGTTCCGTGTGCGTATTGGATGTTGCACACCGGGTAACGAACTCTGTTTGAGAGACAACATTCTAGCTTGAAATCGGAAGTATCTTTAAAGCTATGAAATCTGACCTTTTGTATAATATACAATATAAAACTTTGTCCATTAATTCCTAAAGCAAATTTTTAATTTCTTATTGAACTAGAACCTCTCAAGGATAAAATGAACTCTTTTGAAACTGCTTTGAATCTCATACAGTACTTACCAGCACTTCTTGTTCCTAAGTGCAAAAGAAGCTTCATTCAACCTACTGAAATAAGTGCAGGCAACACGACTTTGTTCTTAAGTTGCTGGAATGATTGAACCAAGTGAGGAGGATATTTGTGACTTTTCTTTCTCAACCATCCTTGAGTGTATGGCTTTGCCTTAAAACGATGACATAAAATGTTCTACCAACTCTTAACCTTGAAGCATCTCAGCCTCCTGCTCAGCAGCAGTGCTACTGTTCTCTTTCAAGCAGCAAATAACTTTTTTTGCTGCCACTGCTACATTATTTTGAACTTTGGATTTATATATCTCAGGAGCTTTGCAAGAAAATGGAAAAAACAGTGATGAGATTTAGAAGAACCATATTCAGTTTCTTACTATCTTCTATATTGAAGGCAAGCTGAAGTAGACAAATACCTTAGAGACTAGGAAAATGACAGTCAGTAAAATGAGAAATGTCAATTTCCTACAGATGAAATGAAGACCTATAGATGTACAATTAGTCAAGCTGTGGAAGTTGTTTTCTGGGAAATGTACAACTGTTCACTGATCTAATTAGGAGCAGTGTATGCCTTGTAGCTTTTCAAAATATGAAGTTGACTGAAGGTTCCCTACAGCCTAAAACTTACAACTGAGACCATGTTTTTTTAACAAACTCCACATTGTCCATTGACAGTGACCTTATACAGAAGATGGATATACATTACACCCAGGCATGGAGATACCCAGGCATGGTTAACATAACAAAATAAGGTGAAGATGAGTTCCATCAAGTGGCTTGGGGGAAGAGAAAGTACTCACACTGTCTTTGACTTCTGATTCCCAGTATGGTTCTAGAAAGATGTTTCAATATTCTTAGAAAAGATTTTTTTGGAATAGAGGTTCTTGATTTCGCCTTCTAGGTCAAACCTCTGCTAACATAAATGATCATGCAGTAGTGTTTCAGAACTTTATCATGTTTTCTCCAGTATCCAAAGGGACCAGTCTAGCACCTAACACTTTTAATTTTCTTCTGATTTCCAGTGTGCATTTATTCACATAAAATTATTTCCATTTTTCCTTCTGTCTGACTTAGAAGATTCTTTTACTTCCACATCAGTTCCCCATGGTGTATTTATACACATGCATAGAGCCTTTCATATTTAGCCTTTGCTAAATAAATGAAGTCCTACTGGTCTGTTCTCTTACAGCAAAATCTCCATCAGCCTTAATCATTCTAGTAGCCTTTGTATTCAAATGCTTTAAGAAATAAAAAGAACTGACCACAAACACACAGAGTAAGTATGCTGGAGGCCTCACCAGAACCCTGTACAATAGTGTGAATGCTTTGTTTCCCTTGCAGGACACATTTCCAATTCATTGAAGAACCACAGCTGCCTTTTCTCATCGGCAGCTGTCATCTGGACTTCCACAACCAGAAAATCTCCTGACACTTCTAGCTGAATGGATTCCAAATTGCAGCAGAATGCATTGTCATTAGTCCTCAGTCCTACATGCCTGCCTGATTTTGCAACTTACACTACATTTTATGGTTATCCATATCTATTCCTTTAATCCTCATGGTTATTCATCTTCTCCTAGATGACTCTCAGCCACGTCATCAGATACATACTGTCATTTTTGGTACAAAGTTGTTAATTCAAATATTACATAAGATCTATCTCTTCACGAAAGTGTACTAATAATTTCCTTACAGTCCAAGAATACCTTTTCTCTTAACAAACTAGAACAGATCACCTTTAAACAGGTTCTCACCCATCTTATAATTCTTCCACTGATTGCCAATATTCTGTAGTCAATATACCACATACTCCACTCAAAAGGAAAACTTGGATAGTTTTCATGTTCAAAATTAACGACACAGCTTTTGTTTTACAGAAGGACCAGTAAGCCTAGAGAGCTAATGCAGAGCTGGGTGCCACTGGGCTAACACGCCATTCTCGAAGGCAATGTATTGTGGATTACAATACAGAAGCACTCTAGCATTTCTGCAAGGGCAGCTGTGTAATAAAAGGGGTATTTTAGAGGATAATTGTGAGTACTTTCTGTTATCTTTGTTGTTCTCTTGCTGTGCAAGTGACCATTCTGCAGATGGCCCAGGATTCCTCCTGTTTCAGAAATTCTGACTAAGCTTGTATGCTGGAAGCAGCTTGAGTCTGAGATGGTTCATTGGCTTCTCTGTGCAGGCCATATCATATTCAGACTAGTCCTATGCAAACTCAGCTGGGCGTCTCTTCACTGTGCCATTGGTTCAGAGTTTACAGCTCAGACTTCACGTCAAAGATGGGCACCTAAAACCTTTGCAGATCAGACTTTGTCCCAAAAGCATTATAGTCCCAATGACACAATCCATATTCCAGCTACTGAACGCCAGCAGACATTAAATGGCTTTCCACACAGCTAATTGCAGTGTTTCCATGTCCACTGCCCAGTTAATTCACAATCCAGCTAAGCTGCTAAATAACACTGTTGACTATTACATTTGCTGTTTTTCAAGAATACTGTGCTCTCCTGCATCTGTGTTAATACAGAAACAAACAAACACAGTTCCTGGACCTTCAAACAAACATCCCAATTCTTTCGGAATTCTGGGACTGAAACTCTTTACTCTTCGCTCCCAAGTCCCCGTTTCCTAGTCTAAATTCATTGAAGTCTGTGGGTTCTAGTTCCCTCTTGGCTGCAGTTATTTTCCTCTCGCACTTCCTTCCTGTTAGTTGCTTCTGCCTTCAGCATCACCTTCAGCATCCCCATCCCTACTGACAAGTGACAACATTTTTTTTGCAGTTTTGGAGCAACGCTAAGAAGATACTAAGTAATTATTCCATTATCCCATTCCAGTGTCCTGTGTTTCCTTCACTCTCTATTTAATCACCAAGTAATATTTTCCATTTGCTTTCTTTTTCACCCTTTTGACCTTTGCACTCGACTTTAGTTGGTGATTAGCCCTTTTCCATTTCATTCCCTGAACACTCACTACTTGTGCCTTATATGCTGTCGGAGACAGTTATTTGTTCAGTTGGGACAGGAAACCTTTCCCCTACTGTTTTTCTTATTTGGAATAGAAGTTCAACATACTTTTACCATATTTGAGTTAAAGAAATTTCTATCCTCCTCCATAATCAAGTCCCTGATTTTCCACTTAATTTGAATTAGTGGACTTGTAATCTGATCTTTACCACGACGTCTCACCAAAACCAAGGCCAAAATAGTATCTTGTTGTTTGTGACTGTTCAGTACCCACTTCACAGAATAACAGGGTCCTACTGTTACTCCTTTAGAAGTTCAGCTCTCCTAACAAGACAACACTCTCCCTCTAGCAGATTTTTCAGAACCAAATCTTTTTATTAGATTTTAAAAACTGATTTCTTCATTGCACATAATCTAGGTATTTTCCGTGAATTTCACTTCCAGATCTTTCAACTGGTTAACAACAGACACTTCTCCTGGAGCGGGTGGCCTTACAGGACCGCAGGTAACGCACCGCCCTACAGATCTGACGGGGAATGTCGGGTGTGCCAGTGGAGCCACCCACACGCGACACAAACACCCCACCTCTTGCCTGGGCAGTGTTTACCAGCTCCCTTTTCTCACAGCTGTTTGAATTCGGCCTCAGAGGTAACAGCTGGCAAGGAATTACCATCC